GTGAAGGTCCACGTCTTCGTATAGCCTCCATATAACGGTACCTTCCGATATTCGGTATTTTGATGATTTTAGCGACATTATTTACAGGAATTGGTTCAAATTTGGTATTTGAAGTTCGTAATGGATACTACAGCCTTAGACAAAAAATTATCTGTGCAGGTCCACGTCTTCGTATAGCCCCCATAGAACGGTACCTCCCGATATTCGGTATTTCGAGGATTTTAGCGACATTATTCACGGGAATTGTTTCAAATTTGGTAGATGAAGTTCGTAGTGGATACTACTGCCTATGACAGAAAATGAGCCATGTTTGTCCACGTCTTCGCATAGCCCCCATATATCGGTACCTCCCGATATTCGGTATTTTAATGATTTCAGCGACATTGATTATAGGAATTGTTTCAAATTTGGTATTTGAATATATAACAGCCTATGACAAAAAATTTTCTGTGCAGATCCACGTTTTATAACCACCATGGTACCTCCCTGTATTCGACGATTTTGACGATTTTAGCTACATTATAAACAGATTTTTTTCAAGTTTCGCATTTGAATATTGTGATATAAGTTGCCTTGTGACAAAAGTTGCCTATGCAGGTCCACGTCGCCATATAGACTCTAATATACGGCTACATGATTTTAACAGAATTTTAAAATCCCTTTATTTTTATTTTATTTTATTTTATTTATTTATTTTTGTTTTTTTTTTTTTTTTTTTGAAAATTGTTAAATTCGTACCAAATGGTGGATGGTATTCAAAGTTCAGCCTGGCCGAACTTACAGCTTTTTACTTGTTTTTTTTTTTTTTTTTTTTTTTTTTTTGAAGTTGCCTTCTACTCTCAACTGTGATTTTAAAAAATACTTTGAAGTAATCATTTAAAAAAAATATGAATGTATGCCTAGAAACCCCTTTGAAAAATTGTCTTTTCTCCATTGTCTTCTCATCAGAATCAACAAACAAATCTTTTTGAATTTCAATTAGAGTTTTCTGTTGTTGTTTTTGTTATCGTCTTGATTCTTTTTGTGTATCTTTTTTTTTTTGTTTTCTATTATTTTTTTTTTTGCTTTTCTTAATTAAAGTTTTGCCTGAACTTACAAACTAAGGCCATATGCCTGGATCTCATATGCAATTTATTCTAATATCTCTTAACGTAATAAAAGATATGTTGTCTTACATTTAATTTTAGATAAAAACATAACAATGGCAACAACAACAGCAACAACAAACAAACACAAAAGTAATTTGTCTTACAATTAACCTATGACATGACATGTTATTACCAGAAAAAAAAAAAACAAAAGAAGAAAAAAACGGAAAAGGAAAAATTAGAAGAATTTGGGCAGTACAGGGGACGTGTGTTTGGAAATAAAAAAAAATAAAAAAAAAAATCATGCCTTAAATAAATATTTTTTAAAAAATCCATTTTTTTTTCTTTGAAAAAGTTCATTCAATTTATATACCGTTATATGGGGTATATACGAAGACATGGACCCGCACAGACAATTTTCTGTCATAGGCCGTAGTATCCATTACGAACTTCAAATACCAATTTTGAAAAAATTCCGGTGAATGATGATGCTGAAATACTCAAAATACCGAATATCCGGTTATATGGGGGCTATGCGAGGACTTGGACCTGCATAAACAATTTTTTGGCATAAACTGTAGTACTCATTAGGATCTACCAGTACGAAATTTGAAATAATTCCGGCGAAAAATGCCGCTAAAATCATCAAAATACCGAATATCCGGAGGTACACTTATATGGGGGCTATACGAAGACGTGGACCTACATGGCTCATTTTCTGTCTTAAGCTGTAGTACCCACTAGGAACTTACAGTACCAAATTTGAAACGATTCTGGTGAATAATACTGCTGAAATCATCCAAATACCGAATATCGGGGGGGGCACCGTTATATGGGGGTTATAGGAAGACTTGGACTTGTATACAAAATTTTTTTGCATAGGCTGTAGTACTCATTAAGATCTACCAGTACGAAATTTGAAATAATTCCGGCGAAAAATGTCGCTAAAATCATCAAAATACCGAATATGGGGAGGTACACTTATATGGGGGCTATGCGAGGACGTGGTCCTATATGGCTCATTTTCTTTCTAATGCTGTAGTATCCATGACGATCTTCAAATACTAAATTTGAAACAATTCTGGTGAATAATTTCGCTAAAATCATCAGAATACCGAAAATCGGGGGTACTGATATATAGGGCCTTTACGAAGACCTGGACCTACATAGACAATTTTCTGTCATAGGCTGTAGTATCCATTACAAACTTCAAATACCAAATTTGAAACAATTCCGGTGAATAATGTCGCTAAAATCATCAAAATAACGAATATCGGGAGGTACCGTTATATGGGGGCTTTAAGAAGACGTGAACCTGCACAGACAATTTTCTGTCTTAGGCTATAGTATCCGTTACGAACCTCAAATGCCAAATTTGAAACGATTCCGGTGAGTAATGTCGCTAAAATTATCAAAATACCGAATATCGGAAGGTACGGTTATATGGGGGCTATACCAAAACTTGAACCTACATGGTCCATTTTCAATATCAAAAGTCCTGCAGACATAACATACATTTTAGGAAAATTTTATCAACTTACTTCATTTCGTTCAGAAGCTAGAGCGATTTCTGCAGACGGATAGACGGGCGGACGGATAGACGGACGGACATTGATAAATTGACATGGAATTTTATGCTGATCAAGATTATATATACTTTGTGGGGTCTAAAATGTATATTTCGAGGTGTTACAAACCATAGTATGATGGAGGGTACAAAAATAAAAAAAATATTAATCTGTTGCAGAACTGCAAAAATGCAAAAGAATTGTTAACCTGAGCATGGCTTCAACAAAATTTTTTTTTTACCGACCTCCAACATCTGCAAGCCCTTTTTCTTATCCTACTTATATTGGACCATGGTTAGCCCAAATCTCTCCACTGTGCCTAATTTTCAACATTTACGTCTTGCAGTTAAATTTAAATTCCATGCTTGCTTTTGGCCCACCCTGTATTTAGTTTAATTCTAAAATAAATACAGACGTTATTTTGTCATTTTACAACGGCCCGGATTAATTCCTTTGTTGATGTTGCTGTCGAAAAAGCAATGTTTATTTGTTGGTGGAAAAACAATAGATAATTTCGGGGGCTTAGTCTCTTGTTTTGAGCAGCAGCTGTATATAAAACAAAAAATCTCTTTTCAAGAAATTAAAAAATTTTTGGTCATTCCGAAAGAAGCTGGCAAATATGATCGCATCTGGAGTACTGATTTTGGTGGTTCTAACGCTCAATTGGAATCTCTGTGTAACACAGGGTCAGGGTAACGTCAAACATCCCTATACGGTGAACTTTTATAGGTATCCATGTGGAGGTTCTATTATAAACTCCAATTGGGTGTTAACTGCGGCCCGTTGTGTTTATTCACCAACGCACTATGGGTTTTTTTACGTTTATTTTGGCATAAACTCTAATTTCAAAGCAATTGAATTGAAATTTGGTTTGTATGCATTTTTTATGCTTCCAAGATGACCTACCAATTTTCATATGATTTGGGGCACTATTTCATATAGCTGCTATATAGCCGATCTGGCCGATTTGACCCAACTTTTTTGTTTATGAAGCTATTGAAGTGAAATTTGGTTTGTATTCATTTTTTATGCCCCCAAGATGACCTACGAATTTTCATATGATTTGGGGAACTATTTCATATAGCTGCTATATAGCCGATTTGGCCGATTTGACCCAACTTTTTTGTTTATGAAGCTATTGAAGTGAAATTTGGTTTGTATTCATTTTTTATGCCCCCAAGATGACCTACGAATTTTCATATGATTTGGGGAACTATTTCATATAGCTGCTATATAGCCGATTTGGCCGATTTGACCCAACTTTTTTGTTTATGAAGCTATTGAAGTGAAATTTGGTTTGTATTCAATTTTTTAAGCCCCCCCAAGATGACTTACGAATTTTCATATGATTTGGGGCACTATTTCTTATGTAGCTGCTATATAGCCGGTCTGGCCTATTTGACCCAACTTTTTTATTTATGAAGCTGTTGAAGTGAAATTTGATTTGTATTCATTTTTATGCCCCAAGATGACCTACGAATTTTCATATGATTTGGGGCACTATTTCATGTAGCTGCTATATAGCCGATCTGGCCGATCGGCTATGATGATTTGGAGAAACATACTGCTCATTCATTACTATAATTATAATTTTTTGCTAAGCCATTTTGAATGTTTAGTTTTAAATCGTTCTAGTTTACGGATGCACTTTGGCAAATGCTTTTTTATATAATTAACAAAATCTTTCACTTGTTTTGATATCAAACGCATTTGGTCTTCATTTAAACTGATATTATTGATTTTCTGTAACACATATTTCACAAGTTCATCTTCTGAGCGATTGTTGCTTCACCAAATTTTAATAAACGCTGCATGGACAAACACATGTTTATCTGCAAAACACGTGTTGGCACAAAATAGAACAAAAAAGGCTAGTTACTCATTAATTAACACACTTTTGTTAATATCTTGGCATTTATACCTTTTTGCAATGCTTTGCCATTCACAAGTTACACTCCACGGAACACAACTACAATTTATAGATTTTATATAAAGCTATACATAAACGAAACAATTCACAGTATTACAACAACAGACAATTATGACAAAAAGGGCACCTCGTCTTAATTTTACATACCTGCACTAACGTTTTCCATAATTACACATTTTATTTTTTTCAATTTTGTCAAATCAGAAGCACTTGAACTTAGCTGATCTTTACCGCCAGTTGTACCAAAACAAAGTGACTTTCAAACAGCTGACTTTAAAAGCTCGCCAGCAAAAAAGGGTTGCCACCCGTATTTATATTAAACATTTTTTTTTCTAATATGAGTATCTACATTTAGGAAATCAGTTAAATTTCAAAATATGAAACCAAAAAAAAATGACTTTATGCCAAAAAATCATGCTTTTTACCCATAGTGCAACGGAAAGAAGACGGGTGGTGGAAGTTGGTGCACAACCGGGAGACGACAACTCAAAATATTACGACGTTACAAGCGTTATCGTCCATGAACGCTACAGACTTAATGATCCCAATAATGATATTGCCTTGTTGGTAGTGAATAGTACAATTCCATTATCTGACAAAATCCGACCAGTGGCACTACCTCCAATCGGCTCAACAGTTCCAGGCAACAATGGACGCTTCGTTAGCTTCCGCAGGCCGGGAAACTCTCAAAAGCTACAGGAATTTTCCGTGGACTATGTAAATGCGACAGTGTGCCAGGAGATGTATGGAAGTATTTTCAACATTACAGAAGATATGTTCTGTGCTGGTCTCAGTGCGGGTGTTGGACAAACATGTCAAGCTACGCCTGGCATGCCTTTGGTGGGCTATTCCCAAAACGCACCCTCCACTCCCGTTCTCTATGGCATTACATCGTTCGGCGTGGGTTCTGTAATGGAAGGATTTCCCGGTCTATATGTGAATGTGGCCGCTTTCCGGCCCTGGATAGATGCAAAGCTAAGAGAAAATGGATATTGATTCGAAGAAAAAAAAACGTTTTCAAAGAACTTCGAAAGAGAGTGTGTGTGAGAGAGAGAGAGAGAGAGGGAGAGAGAGAGGGAGGGAGAGGGGGTGGGAGAGGGGGAGGGAGAGGGGGAGGGAGAGGGGGAGAGAGAGGGGGAGAGAGAGGGAGAGAGAGAGAGAGGGAGAGAGAGAGAGGGAGGGAGAGGGAGGGAGAGGGAGAGAGGGAGAGAGAGAGGGAGGGAGGGAGATAGGGAGGGAGGGAGAGTGAGAGAGGGAGGGAGAGTGAGAGAGGGAGGGAGAGTGAGAGAGGGAGGGAGAGAGAGAAACAAGTAAAATTTGAAAATAAAAAAGTGAATACATGGCTCGATATACAGTGAGCGCCGAAAGAAAGTTTACACCAACCTGAACTGTGTTATTAACATTTGTTTATGCTTTTGTAACATTATTTGGTCATCGCATATATCTGTAATGTAAGCTCTATTACCCTAAAAATTATTATTAAAAAAAATATATAAACGACGATAACTTTGTTTGTTTTCTTTTATACCCTCCACCATTCTGTGGAGGGTATGTTGACTTTGTCATTCGGTTTGTGACACCTCGAAATATACATTTTAGACCCCAAAAAGTACACCGATTCTTGATCAGCATAAAATTCCGTCCGTCCGTCTATCCGTCTGCAGAAATCGCTCTAGCTTCCGAACGAAATGAAGTAAGTTGATAAAATTTTACTAAAATGTATGTTATGTCTGCAGGACTTTTGGTATTGAAGATGGGCCATGTAGGTCCACGTTTTGGTATAGCCCCCATATAACCGTACCTCCCGATATTCGGTATTTTGATGATTTTAGCGACATTATTCACCGGAATAATTTCAAATTTGGTATTTGAGGTTCGTAATGCATACTACAGCCTAAGATAGAAAATTGTCTGTGCAGGTTAACGTCTTCGTATAGCCCCCATATAACTGTTCCTCCCTATATTCGGTATTTTCATGATTTTAGCGACATTATATTCACCGGAGTCTTCTCAAATTTGGTATTTGAGGATCGTAATGGATACTACAGCCTAAGGCAGAAAATTGTCTGTGCCGGTCCATGTCTTCGTAGAGCCCCCTCCCAATATTCGATATTTTGATGATTTTAGCGACCTTTTTCACAGGAATCGTTTCACATTTGGTATTTGAAGTTCGTAGTGGATACTATAGCCTAAGACAGAAAATTGTCTGTGCAGATTCACGTCTTCGAATAGCCCCCATATAGCTGTGCCTCCCGATATTCGGCATTTTGATAATTTTGGCGACATTATTCACCGGAATGCTTTCAAATTTGGCATTTGAGGTTCGTAACGGATACTACAGCCTAAGACGGAAAATTGTCTGTGCAGGTCCACGTCTTCGTATAGCCCCCATATAACGGTACCTCCCGATATTCCATATTTTGATGATTTAAGCTACACTGTTACCGATTATTTTTTTTAAGTTTCGCATTTGAATATTGTAATGGGTTATGACAAATATTACCTATGCAGATCCATGACGTCGTATAGACCCTAATATAACAGCTACATCCTGCATTTTTAAGATTTTAACAGAATTTTAATTTTTTTTTTTTTAGAATTGCCAAATTCGTTCCAAATGGTGGAGGGTATTCAAAGTTCGGCCCGGCCAAACTTACAGTTTTTTTACCTGTTTTGTCATGGATCTCTTTGCGGAGGGTTTTTTGTATTTTTATTTATTTATTTATTTTTTTTTTTTTTTTTTTTTTTTTTTGTCTAATAATCTCCAAATCTGGGAATTTTTGAAAATAATGAAGGAAGAGGCGAGATAATGTTGGATATTTATAAGGGTCTAAAGCTCATAGGCTCTACCACCACAAATCTAAGAAAGTTGCGAAAAGACGGAACGTTATCTATGGTGAAAAAAACTGCGTGGACCTGCATAGGCAACTTTTGTCACAAGCTATTAGAATATTCAAATGCGAATCTTGAGAAAAATAATCTGTTTATAATGTAGCTAAAATTATAAAATTACTGAATATTGGGAGGTACCATGGGGCTATAAAACGTGGACCTGTACAGACAATTTTCTGGCATAGGCTGTAGTATCCATTACGAACTTCAAATGCAAATTTTGAAACAGTTCCTGCAAATAATGTCGCTAAAATCATCAAAATACCGAATATCGAGAGGTATACCAAAATATGGACCTATATGGCCCATTTTCAATACCAAAAGTCCTGCAGACATAATATACATTTTTGTAAAATTTTATCAATCTACTTCAATTCGTTCGGAAGCTAGAGTGATTTCCACAGACGGACAGACGCATAGAGGGATGGAGGGACAAACGGACGGACATTGCTAAATCGACATAGAATTTTATCCTGCTCAACAACGCATCATTGCACATCGATACATCAATTCTAACAGAATTACTGTCGGCAGCGAAGAGTCCTTGGACGACGTCCTCTAACATGTCAGCCTTTGGCTAGACACAACTGCCGTAACCCCATCGTTGCCGATGAGGTCTGGGATTTTGGCAAAGCGAATAAAACCCGCTGCAGCCTTCACCCTACCGTACATACGTTCGTTTACCTAGATTTCGCTGAGGTATCGTACCCATTGAACTGACTCGTATTCCGTAATCGCGCCTTGGATAATTCTATCGGCATTGCGAATTTCCGTCCTGAGAGTTGAAAACTTTTCAGAGTTTTCTGTACGATATAATCTTCTCCATGGAACTTTCTTTTGCCTGATTAGATCTAGTATTTCTGGCGTAAGTCTACGGGGTCCTCTATTCCCAGAATAAATTCTAGGAATGGCAGACTCCATTTATCTCACCTTGAATTAAAACTAAAACTATATGTGACTGGCATTACCAAGTGAATGAGAATTATTTGTCTTATGCACTAAAATGCATATTGCCGATAGCTGCATTGTCAAATCTGTAAATAAAAAAATGCCCACTAACATTTTTTTTAGTAAATATTCAAATTTTAATTAAAAACCATTTTTAAAGCATATCTTAAGGCGTTACAAAATAAAACCATACATTTCTCGCAATAATCCAGCTAGCCAGCATCTTTACTTAAATCTTATTAATGATTCTGCAATAATTTTATTTCTTACACAACAGCAACACAATTTTTGTACCATAGGGGTAGGCGGGGGGGAGGGAGGTAGAGGAAACTACAAGAATACAAAAATAAAATCTAATACAACAATTACTTACCGAATGGCAAGAATTTAATTAACACTTTTGTGTATTAACCTCACAAACCTCAGTGCAGACATGCAGTGGTGCAGAGAGAGGGGGGCCTGGCTGAGAGGCTGAAGACCAGAGCCGGAGAGTACGAAAACAATTTCATTCGAAACAGCTTCCGGCCAAATGACAGAAAAGTTAATTTTAAATGCCAATTTCAAATTGAAAGACACAAGATTAAAATAACCCAGAACAAGGAAAAGAAAAAAAAACGGATGAGAAGAACATCATATAACGCTGCTTGGAGCAGCAGTCATGTGTCTCGTCCTTCTGCCCTGTTGCCATCGTCCACCCTACCGCCACTTAAAACCAACATCTGAGAGCATAAAACAATGCCAACTAACAATATCAATGTTAGAGCAAATGGTTTAGCTGGACATGCCAGTCGGAGTTGGGCTATTGATACTCCGTTGGTTGGTTGGCTTGGCTGAATGTTCGGCATGTTTACAAGCAACGTCTAAACTTGCCCCATAAACATATCGTAATGGCGGGGGAGGGTTTGGAGTAATCCAAAACGAAATAAAGTGAAACATACTTGTATGTATATAAATACAAAGGATATATGCAGGAGCTTAAGGACACCCGCACTAAAAACAAGACAGGCCATCAGTTATGGCGGGTCAATGGCTGGAGGGGTGGATCCAAAAGTTTGGATGGTTTTTTTAAAAAAAAAGCCCAGGACCCTGAAAAAATGGTTTTGTCCACCAATGTAAGAATCGGGAATCTTAAAACTCGGCAGGAGGATAAGTCGAGGCGTGTGAAAAGGCTAAGTATTTGGAATTTCGAAGTAAAAGGGTACAAAATGTACTAAAAATGCAATGTGTTTTTATTGGACTAAAGAATTCTGAAATTTGGAATAAGAGTCACTGAAGGGGTGCCGAATAAATGTACCACAGGATTTTTTTGGAAATTCGAACTATTGGGTTACGAAAAGTTCTAAAATGGTACTAAATTTCTAAAATGCCACCATTTGGTATTAAGTGAAGGGTTAGAGCTAAAAACTTGAAATTTGGTCTGAGAATCAGGGATTGGCAAGAAAATTTGATTTATGAAGGTGATTTTGGAAATGTGTACAAATTTTGCGAACTGTACTAAATAGTACTAAATTTGGAACATTTTGGGTTAAGGTGAACATGTTGAGCAAGAATTTCGAAGTTTTTGGTGGTAGAATCCCCGTTGGTGATTGGTTTGTGAAAAAAGAGATGGTTTTAGAAATATGTACTACAAGTGCACAAAAGGTACTAAAAAGTACTATATTTGGTACAATTTAGTATTGGGTGAAGAGATAGGGCTTGAAATCTAAAATGCGACATTAGGGTCGCTGTTCATGGGTAGTCTGGGCATATGGAGGTGGCTTCGGCACTATGTGCTATAATTGTACGAAAAGTACTGAATGGTACAAAATTGAGTTTTTGGTGAAGGAATAGGGCTGGAATCCTCAAAATTTTATATTGTGGAGATAAAGTGTATCTGGAATTGAGTGCGAAGATGGTTTCGTTGGTTGAGAAATGGAGGTGGTTTTATGAAATGGGTACTATATTTGTACGAAAAGTACAAAATGGCACTAAATTGGGTTTTGGGTAAAGAGATAGAAATAAAGGATAATCCTGAAATTTGATACATATGTTCAATTTCTAAGATTAAAGGTGATTTTGGAAAGGTGTACTATAATTGTACTATAAGTACTAAATGGTACTAAATTTGCTATTGCGCGAAGAGATAGAGAAAAAATTCTGCAATTTGATATTTGGAT